CAACGAGGACGTTGGGCCCCAAAGGGGGGGTAATTGTGGCGACCTTGTGGGCGGGTGTGTGTGAGCGTGTGCAGGGGGCACTAGTAGGCTACCACACTGGGCGAGCTACAGGTGCACAATCCCACATCGTCTGGGTGTGGATGGGGCAAGTGTTATATGTAGATTCAACACCCTTCTATGACACAACGCGTTTTAAAGCCATGATGGCCGTGAACCCATCAGAACTCTGTAGTTAAGCGTGCTTAACTTGGAGTAGTACCAAGATGGGTGACCCCCTGGGAAGTCTCTGGTCTGGGTGAGCCAAAAGCAGACAATGTTGTGTCTAGCCAGGGTGAGGGTCATTACCAAACCCAAGGTCGGTCGCTGCTCTTCACGGCGGCCTATCACGGTGAGCTAATTCCCACTCCCATCATCAACGCTTGTGGTTCCGGAAATCTCAACATTGCCGATCATCACTCCCCATGGACTGCTGATTCTGTGCAACCTAGACCAAAGCCATCAATTTTGTTTACGACCCTCCAATAATCACAAGAAAATTTATGTGATTCACGAACCAAAAGGAAACATTTACCAAAAATAAACCACCATATATAAATATGGATTGATTTGCAGATATGGAATATATATATATATATTACAATTACACTAAATTACTCAAATTAACCCATTACAATTATACCAAATTACTCAAATTAACCCATTATATCATTACTCAAATTACTCCATATAATTATATATATATATATATATATATATATATATCAGCAAAAATGAAGAATTGAAGAGAGTGGTGGTTTTGGTTTAGAGAGAGGGGGTAAAAGTTTCAGAGGGAGGAGGAAGAAGACACGGGGATATTTCTATGACTTCAAAAATAATAATTATATTTTTTAATTTAATATTAAATAGCATGGTCAAATATTACATTTCATAGTTCGGTTAACGGGTTAGATACGGATCTTGTGGCAAACTGATCACTTTTTAAAGTATAGGGGGTTTTCTGAAAAAGGTTGGTGTTTATGATTAAAATATGAAAGTAGTAAAAGTTTTATGGAATTAGCCCTCAATTGATATTATAAGTTAGTATAAGTGTGTTTAATTATGGTCACATATACATACTTACCATATTTGTCTTGTGATCCCAAATTTGAGTTCCTTCTAAATTGGAAGTCCTAAACAACTCGCCTTGATCGGCTTGCCCAGGACCGCCTTGCGGTCCAGCCCGTTGAAGAAAATCAAAGATCGCCTCTTTATCCAACATTTCTACACCACACAATTGGAAGGTGTGTGTACGTGTGTTGTGATGCTAAGGGGTAATTTGGTCCAAAAAATTGTCTCAAAAATTTATTAAACGGCCATCAGTTAGAATACCCCCTTCAAGATAGTTAAGGGAGTTTTTTTGTCAAAAAATTCATAAGAGGAGTTTATTACAAGTGAATGATAGTCAAGGGGGTTTTTTGCAGAGTTTACAAACTCTCGCTTTAACAATGGTTAGTACAAAATAAATCATGAGTTATCCTATAAACAACACATCCCCACAACCCTGCTCATTATGCTGCTTTGGCTCATCCACGGTAAAACCAAAAATATTTATTAATTAATCCATATTTCAAAATTATTTTCAAAGTTCAATTCCTCTCCGCTTAATATCGAGATCAAATAAATCAACAATTATATAAAAAATTTAATATCATATCAACTTTATCTCACTCGTTAAAACTTGATAACTTCTGTGGATTTAATAATGGCAAAAAAGCATAAAACCCCCCTCAACTATTAAAAAATTAGTATTTTATCCCTTGAACTACAAAATCGAGCAAGTCAGTACTACAACTAATAAAAATGTACAATTTGACCCCTGGCAGTCCTTTCCTGTCACCACCATTACACATTTACAAATTACCCATTATAATTAACATTTAAAAAAAGACAAATAAAACTAAATTTGGAAAATACCATCAATACCCTCATGCTATATACATCTTATATTGCTAAAATTTCAAAGTGTAAAATCCAAAGGTCTTCGGTGCTTAGAGATGAGAAGAAAATGTTGATGACGTCGCATCGGGTGTTGTTGACAGATTCGAAGTTGGTGATGTGGGTGATTGATGGAGTGAACAGAGGTACTAGAGGACGACGTCGTTACGAGTTCCGATGAGGCTACTGGACTGTTGATTCCAATGAGGCTACCGGGACTGTTGAGCAGTAGTGCTTGTCAAATTCTAGGTATTGCGGATTTAGGTCTTTTCCCCAAGTTTTTCGGGGTGAGATCAAAATGGTTCAACACACCATGGGTTAGGATTTTGGTGGCCACTGTGATCAGACTCTGTTTCGTTTATGAATTTCACGGACTTCATATCGTCGACGAATTTCTTGTACAGTTTGGGGATGTTATTGGAATTTGCATGGTTTCTTGGCCCAAATCAGCCTCCGCTCCTTCCCAGTGCTTGACAACGGTAGACAGATGATGTTGAGGCAGTAAAGGATAGGCTCAATTGTGGTGACATAATTCCGGCGACGTCGATGATGGTGGAGATGATGATGACGACGACGCCAATGACCTCTTTGTCATAGTTGTACAACAAATTTTCAAGAAATTCGATATCAATCGATTATCTGTCCCAAGGAAGATGTTGCACAATTTTGTTTTGTCCCCATGGCTACAGTACTTTCCCCTGTTCAAAACCTTGTCCCGCCAGTCTGCAACTCACTGCTCGTACATCGCCGGAACAGTCTCTGATTTTCGGCGCTGTGAAGTTGTGGTTGCCGGCGTTAAGTATCGGCTCCTCTGACAATTGTTACCCATCTGTATATATATATATATATATATATATATATATATATATATATATAGGCACAGGGTTACAATGGTCATATTGCAAAGGCAGTTTTGGAATTATATCTGAAAGTAAACTCACGCGCTCCATCTGTTGCCGGAAATAAGCCGGAAATGACTGTCAGGGGGTCAAACTGCTCATTTCTGATAGTTGAGGCACTGACTTGCTCAATTTTGTAGTTCAGGGGGGTAAAATGCTGATTTTTGATAGTTGATGGCGGTTTTATGCTTTTTGCCTTTAAGAAATACCTATTTAGTGTGGGATACATACACATTTAAGTAACATACTCAAATACCAATGTAGGAAATAATCTGCAATTTTTATGATCAAAATCAATCCGCAACTCACCTCTCAAAATTCACCATAAATCCTATAAGATAAATTAAACAGCAGACCAAAATTTAAAGAAGTCGTTTTTTTTTTTTCCCCTAAATGGGATGTTTTTTGTTTTTATATATAATCCATAAAAATTCAATTACAAAAGGAAGCCAACTCCTCGAATACAAGTCAAGCAATGGAGTAAATCAATTATCTAAACAAAATCCAAAAAACAAAGTTGAAAAAACATAAACCAAATGAAATCAAAAAACAATCATCCTGCTTTAACATGAAAAACATAACTCTGATGCAAAAGAACCATGTAAGACAGCCCAATGTGATACAGCAGATCCCAACTGACAAACAGACCCCGGCAAAACACTATGATCAAGTCTGATTTGGAGCAAAAACAACTCTAACAAGACAGTCCAATGTGATGAACCAAATCTACACATTTGTTCAAGCACTCTGCAGCATATCAGCAAAAGCAACAGCACACTGAACAAACCCCCAGCAAAAAGACAGAAAACAGAACCTTCCTCATTAAAAAATGAGAAGGAAATCTTAAATTTAAAGAAGTCTTTATAAGTCTATTTCATGAGCTCCCATTTTATTTTTTGGCCAGTAACCTCGTAACGAATGATTAAGATGTAAACAAGTGTACGCTATTTAATTAGGTTCTAGAATGTTTTAAAAAATATGTAGAATATTTACCAGACTCTTATACAATTTTAAATAATGACTACATAAGTTAATACAACTCCATACAAGTCTATAGAATTTTAGAATATCATGGGACTATCTATATCACATTTGTCAAGCTTTTACTATCTATATCACATTTGTGAAGCAGTGCGTCATTACTTTTATGGGAAAGATATTAGGTGCATTGGGCTCACCGAACATGTTGTGCGCGCGTGAATGTGTATTATACATGTACAGATCGAATGAGTCAATGCACCGTACATCCGGCGCCCTAATATTTATTCATTTTTCTGAAAGGAAGTAGAATATAATAAATAAATAAATGATTCAATACGAGCAATTGGTATTTATTTATTAGGTCTGTCCTTGATTGCAAGAAGAGAACGTGCCGAGAGGCCATGCTTGCCCCATTAATTTTTTTTTTTTTTATGCATATAATTTATAAAAATTTACAAAATATACTCTTGGAATTTCTAAAAATTTCTCTAATTCTTTCTTTCTTTTCCTGCTTAATCTTCTTCTCAAGTTTTTTTTTTTTTTTTTTAATCTCTCTCTCTTCAAATAATTTTGCATTCCATGTCTTCAATCAAACCTAAATTTTTTACTCATTAAGGTTCTCTCAATATTTTTTTTTTTTTCTTCTTCTTTGTTTTTCTTTATCTTCTTAAAATTCTTTATCTCTTATTCTTTTTTTATTCACTTGGTTCTTTAAATTTATTACTGGAATTTTGTACACTTGAGACTTGTTCACAACATTGCATCTGTTTAGAAATAGATAAAAATTTAAGCGAAAATATATATATATATTCATTGTAGCTAAACAAACTGTGATGATAAAATTTTATAATAATAAAAAAAATAAAAAATAAAAAAAAATCAATTTGTTGTTAAAACTATTTTTAAAAAACATTTTAAAAGAATAGATTGAAGAGGGTCTAATTAGGTTTTTTTTTTAGTTTTTAGATATTTTATGATTTTTTCAAGACTCGTTTCAATTTTTTGTTGGGCCACATCACCTATCAGGACCAAGTTGGCCCACATGGGCAGGACTATCATTGTCTGTACAATGAATGTGTAAAATATTTATTATTTCATGTAATCACTGATGAAATGTAAATAGAAAAACCGTAAATAAAATGAACGAGAAAGATAAGGGTTGACTACGTCATGTTTTATGAAAAATCTTGCTGATAGCATACATATATCCAAGAGTAACATCCGACCACATTTTGATGGAAAAATTGAAAGGCGTCCATAAAATGAGGATTTTATACTAAAGTTATTGTCAAAACTGATATAATACAAAATGAATAGAATTCTAGATTTGTTCTCTGCCAAAACCAACTGCACAGCCTCAAAGTGAGAATTTTTGGCAAGCTCCAAACTTCGCCATTTGGTGACTGTTTGAGCACCTACAAGTATAAAATATTGCCATTTGCACAGGCTTAAATTGATGCGATAACAGATGCGATTACAATCCCCATCCTTCCCAGCATTTGCGTAGAGATATAGAGTATAACATATTCCCAATTTTGTCACAAGAAGGTATGACCATCACCAAACATTTACCAGTCTTACAGATATTACACGAAGCCGCGCCAGCAACAAATGTCATGAGACTGCAGAAAATTTACCAACATAAATACTACAAATTGGTATAAATACTTGCAATAATTATGATAATGATAAAACAAATCCTGATAGTAACATGACATGCTACGTTTTAATTTATTAAGTTCCACATATAAAAACTAGAAAATAGCACTACACTTGCTCCCATACATACCATGCTTAGTTGCGCTTAGGGACCTGAACATTGTTTTTCTTGGCTAAATGATCTGAGACGTTCAATAAGGTTCTCCTTTAACGACTCGGGAATTTGGGAGATGAAATTTTGCTTAGAATCTGTAATCAACCTCCTCCTGCATTAAGAAAATAGTAAAAGGATGAAAACGAGTTTCCAACTTATGAAAGAAACAAGAATCAAATCAAACTAAAGAAAAAACAAATAGAAGGGTTATATAAAAAGCATATGAAACATTCAGGATAAGACAAAAAAAAAAAATTATCCACAGTGCCTGACACTAGCCAGTTTTTGGGTCTGACATGGTAAAACCAAAGGCTTTAGGTTTTGTTTCTGGGTCTTGTCTAAAGAACCATTTAGAATCAGGTCTATGGTGGTTCCAAAACAGGTACTAAGCATAACCAGAAGAATTCCTTCCTTCAAAGGTTATCATAACACTAACCTACTTTTTAGGATATAAAAAGGAATAACAAATAAAAGAGGAAAGAAGAAACTCTCTTTTCAGGTTTGGGTAGTACATCTAGAACATATAGCTTGTATTTCTCAAATTTTGTTCAGTATTTATGAAGCATGGACTTAGAAATGGACACGGGATACTGACACCACTATATGTCAAATTCTTAAAATATAGGATAAGGGTGTGGTGAAGACTATAATATAATAATTGTTTTCAGGTTTGGGTAATTATTTTCTGGGTATACTATAATAATTGTTTTTCATGCAATAACGTCCCCTTGTAAAAAATAGTGACAAACAGGCTAAGAGTCAGGAGTGATATTACATGGAAGTATTATATCTTTAAAAATATTAGGCATTGCCGCATAAATACAAATGAAAATTTCAAGCCATTGGAAACAAGAGTGCGAATGTGGTAGTGAGTCACATTTCCCAAAGTGCCCATTATTTTGGGACGGAGGAAGTATTATATCTTTAAAAATATTAGGCATTGCTGCATAAATACAAATGAAAATTTCAAGCCATTGGAAACAAGAGTGCGAATGTGGTAGAGTTGGGGAAGTCTTTTAAGAAGTAGGAAATATGCCTATTCATATGACTGGCAAAAAGGTTCTGGCCCACAACAGTTCTGCATTGTTGACATGGAACTATAATATTGGCCGATAAAGTAATAAGGCAACCCAGCTGAAAAAACCAACAGTTGAAAGTGTGTTGAACACTTGGAACAGGAGTAACAATGATCAAGAAACCCTACTCTTTTCAACTACTGAAGTGATTAACAAACTCACTATAAAGTATAAAGGTGGTAACTTTCGCTGCAGCCACCAATTAAGCAACAAAATTCTACGATGGTCATTTGCCAATATTGAATGGACAGAATGGCAGTTTTGGACATATTTGTCCATCAATATAAAGCAAATACAATTCAAATAACCCCAAAAAAGCAAGATTCTATAAAATAAAATAAAATAAATACATAAATAAAAAATTTAAAAAAAAAACCCCTTAAAACACAAAGCAAAAAGGAGAGAGGAAAATCGGAACTTAAGACAAGTGAAGTTTGTGAAAATTCAAATCTCTGCAACACACTTAACCACATCTAAGACATAAATACAACAAATAAAAAATTAAAAAAATAAAAAAAAATAAAAAAAAGAGAGACAAACAAAGACACATTATTTTTATATTCATTTTGGATAAGCAAAAAATCACGTGAATTGCAAAAGAGCATATAGTTATCAAATAAAGTTTAAACAGTCTTCGGATCTTCATTTTATCAAGCTGCTCAAAGGCCAAAAATGATTTCTTATCTTTAAAAATAATGTATACTTCTTAAAATTTTGATTTTTCAAGCCCCTGACAAGAGAGGAAGTCTGAAAATAATATTAAAAAGGGAAAAATATATATATAGTTTTGAGTAATCTAATAACTTTGCACATTAATATGACCAGCATAGATTGTGTCTCGGGCAGATACTATTAACCTAACTACTCAACTGACTTTTATGACCCTGTGCATTAGCTGAATGGCACATATATTTTGGCCTGTAACAGTTCAATGTAGCTGCCATGGGCTGCTACGGGTAGATAAACTCAATACCTAACAACTCAAGTGACTTTTATAACCCGGCTATAAAGGGAAAGGCTTCATAGTGAAACATAGACTAGGCTATAAAACTTACGTAAGAATTTTTTTTTTTTTTTTTTGTTTTGATAAGTAAATAACGTATTAAAGAGCATTCAAAAGGGGAACGCATCCCTCAAAAGCTAGAAAAGGCCAAAAAGGGACTCTAAACCCTCTAAGAACCCAAAATATCAACAAACTCCTCTATAGACTTACAATTTCTCCCAATAACCCAACAAAAAGGAATGCTAATAATGGAGAACTTCAAAGACCCAATAGGATTTTCCTTTCCTTTGAAAGATCTCCTATTTCCCTCAAGTCCACCACCAAACACATAAATGTGTAACCCTCCAGAAATCACGGACTTGAAACCCCCACCGTACAACCTTTCCAAGCCTCAATCATACATCTGGAAGACCTCGGCACCCACTGAAATCCGAACAAACCCAGCATCAAATTCCAACAATCCAGTGCCACTAGGCAATGCAAAAGAAAGTGACCAACCTTTTCCTCATCATTCTTGCACATAAAGCACCAGTTAGCCACAATCTATCTCCTTCTCCTTGGGTTATCTTGAGTCAAAATCTTCCCTAAGATGGATGTCCATGCAAAAAGGTGCCACTTTGGAGACTTCATCCCACCCCTTCCAATTAAATTTCCAGGCCCCAACCTGCTTGGAAGTCTCACCTCAAAAGAGCACAACCCCCTCTCATCATTCCATTTTTGCTCACAATCACCCTTATATATAAGTAATTCTTCAACACGTATGGGACAAAAAGATAATTGCAAAACATGCCTCGTGGTGGCCACTCCTTAAGTTACAAATCAGTCATTATGGTTTGATGTTTCATTATGAAAGCAGTCTCAATTGGCCAGAACATGGAAGTGTTTGAAAAATAAATAAAAAAATTAAGCTTTTGGATAAAGTTGCTGGCATGTGAAAATGACAGACAGCAAAAGAAATAACATTTAAGAAACACCTTCCCCCCTCCCCCAAAGAAAAAATAAATAAAGCAATAAAAATGATCATGTATACTATAGGGCATAGGCAAATGAAATCAGCTAGACAAACAACAATGCAGAATCACAATAAAGGCAATGAGAAAACACTGAACATTATAGGACATTAACCAAACTTCTTAACAACCAAATACAGATACAGTCACCCAAAAAAAAAAAAAGGATAGTATGGGGGGGGGGGGGGGGGGAGATGAAAAATGATACATAATTGAAGAAAATCACTTTAATTGATTACGTAGATCCCTCCATTTTTACTCTTTAGAGGATGGGATAAGAAATAATATTTCTGATCAAATTAAACAAGAAAACATCAATGAGGCCAACCAAACAAATTCTGTGGAAACTGGAACCCAGCGAGAATTAAGAACTGATCTTTCTGATGATGTGCCGAGGAGATGGATAAACATGAACAAAAATTCTTTTATTTATACGGAATTCTGAATGTAAAATGTTTTAGTGTTCATTCAGAATTCAATTATATTATTTACCAATTGACATATAGGTTGAATTGAATGTGAATCAAATTTAAATATAATTAATAAATAAATAACCTTTTATTCTCAAACTTAACTATTTAATTGAAAATTTTGAAAATCTTACCTACCAAGTACATAAAAATTATATTACAAAAAAGTAATTATATGAGATTAATAAATCAGTCTAATATTAATGGAGAATCAGACATGGCCTAAAAGCTTGAAATGCATGTGTCGCCTCTGCGACTGGAGATGTGGCAAAGATATATAATCAGGGTTGATTTTCATTCAATTTTATTACCATATTACTATGTTTTGATTTTAGGATGTTTTAGTAACTTAGTATTTTAGGGGGGGTTTTTTTATGGTAGCAGGATTTGATTAGGTTCTCCTTGATGCCTATTTATATGTGGGTCGATAACATTCTTAAGGCACCTTTTATGATTGATTATGGAATATTGAGCTAAGAAGCACGGAAACGGATACGGGACACAGATACAACACGACACGGATACGGCAACATGGCAAATTCTAAAAAAAATAGGACACGAACAGATAGGGGCACGGCAAATAATAAATATATTTTATATATATAGTTATATAAATATATATATATATATATGATGCTATACTTTAAGAAATTAAGAGTAATATTATTTTTTATCGAAAAAAAAAATGTATTTTGCTGGGAAAAAGAAAGAATGCTAGAAAGAGGGTAAAGAAAAGAGGAAAAAAACAAAGAAACAAAGAGGATGAGAGTTTGGAAAAACAAAAAATAAAAATAAAAAATTAGGGCTTAGTTAAAAATAAAAGTAGGAATCCATAGAAGAGAAAAAGTTCATGGAAACAAGATGAAAAAGGAAAAGGAGACACAAAAATAATTTTGTTGTGAAAAAAAAAAATCCAGTATCTAGGAATTGTGGAGGAGAAGAAAAAAGAGAGAAAGAAAAGAGAGGTCGAAGAAGAGGAGAGAAAAGAGAAGATAGAGGCATGTAGCCCTAGAGTGGAGGGCAGCCTCATGAGGGTTGAAGGGTAGAGAGTCAAGGGTTCGGTAAAGTGAACACTGATGGCGAGAGTGAGTCTCGGGGAGTGGTACACGGTATAAGGCTCGGGTATCTTCCTCTATACCCTGGAGCATGAGTATGTGTACATGTTACGGTGTTGGTAATTCTCTACTATAGTAATATCTCTACATCAATATAATGAATAACTCTTCATCCGTGGGCATAGCCCAGAGTTAGGGTAAACCCCGTATATCTTTGTGTTGTGTTTTATTCTGTGATTGTGCTTCTTGTTTCACTTCCGTTGTGCCCCAACTGCACCTTTGAGCTTCCTATTTTACTGGGATGTGTTCCTACAAATGGAGTTATATTTTCCTTGGCACCAGCATTAGTTCTTCCCTATTTTTAGCCGCATTATTTGGATTAAATTGAGGATATTTTTTATTGTCGGAGTTATGCTTCTCGTATTGGAGATATCCACTATCCAGTATTACCCTGTTCAATGGAAAGGTTATGCAACTTCAAATTTTATATGAAGCATAGCTGGAGAACTTTATTATGTTGACTCCTATTTTTTGGAGCTGTACATAAGCATTTACTCTCCGGAGGAGAGTTCTTCTCAACCAGGAGGGATTGATGGGAGAATCGGACATGGTCTGAAAGCTTGAAGTGCATCTGCATCACCTCTACTATTGGAGAGTAGCAAGGATAGATAATTAGGGTTGATTTTCATTTAATAATAATATTATATTAGTATGTTTTGATTTTAGGGATGTTTTAGTAACTTGGTATTTTAGGGACTGTTTTATGGTAGTAGGATTTGATTAGGGTTATCCTTGATTCCTATTTATGATTGATTATTGAATATTGAGATAACAATGACTTCTTCATCCTCATGCTTCTCTCTCTCTCTTCTTTCTCTCTCACATTCTCTCAATTATCCTACATCACATAGGCAACCCATATGTTGATCATTCACATCAAACTGATTCTACCCTTTTTTTCCTTTCTGATGAGACTATATCATACAATATCCTTATACTTCATAGCCAAACTTCAAACTCAAGGTTTGAAAAATATAATAATATACACAACATAGAAAAAAATTCATAATTTCAATGGATTATGATAAGTTTCAATCAATTTCTATGAATTTCAACAATTTCAATCAAAACTATTGTTTAAAATTACAGCAGGTCAATGCCACTTTCCTAATTACAGAAAATTCATTTAATTTGCTAGATCCGTATCAAAATTCAATACCAAGCAGAATCTTAGGCAAACACACATGCAAAAACTTTTTTGCAGGGAGATACATAGAATTTGAATTTTAATCACCAACAAATTCAAAATAACAATACACTAAACAAAATCGTAAAAGCTCAAGAAGACTTACTTAGATTCATTGCCATCTGATGCTGCATTGCCTGCTTCTTCTGCATAAACATTCTTTCTAGAATGCATGTAACGAGAAACTTTATCTGACCAACCACATGACCGCAGAACTAAAGAAGCTTCTGTCCTGAGACTGAAACATACCAAAAGTGAAATACATTAAAACCTATATGGGAGGTAGGTAATCCTTAAAAATATCAGAATAAATAATGATTAACTTGTAAAAAATTCACCAAAGAAAAGCTGGGATGATATTGTTGAGCATGAAAATAAAATAAAATAAAAGGAAAAAGGACATCTTAGTGAATAATAAGGAAGAAATAACCATTGGATATACAAATGACATTGCTATGGAATTTTAATCAGAGGTGCAAACTATGGATCATTCATCAAAGGTTGCAAGTCAAGCAATCTGGTGAACTTAAATGAAAGCCAATTTCACATATTCAGCCTTTGTTTAGTCCGCAGTTAATAAACATTCAAGGTGCACAAAGACACCAGGTCTCCCAGAGCCTAAGCGCCAGGCAACATCATGTGCAGGCCCAAGTAAAGCTAAATCGTGTAACATAGAAATGCATACTAAATATAGTTATCATAGAAAAAAATAAAAATATGCAACACAAACAAGTGAAGATCAAAAATGAGGGTATTTTTTGACATACCAATTTAGTGGCTTACCAAATCAAATATACATATAACGTTTCAAGTAGTACATGCATTAAACAAACATACATCTGAATTCAAAATATGTAACACAAACTTAATCAAAAATTTAAAAAATATTTTTTTTAGTATATCAACCAAGAGAACTAAATCGGTCAGCATATATCTTCTCAACGGCATGTACTTCAACTAAATCAAATACTATTTCAAGTGTGCTGCTGTGCAAACAAAAAAATACTACAAATCATTTACATTTTAAACATAATATATTATCATATCTACTAAAAAAGCATTCAACATATTTAATGCAAGTAGACAACCATAAGCACGTGAATTTCAAAAATTAACTATTAGTATGTAAAGATTAGTAGTATGAAATGATTTAGAACCTGTCAGCTAAAGATTATTACTAAAAAGAAAAGAAAAAGATCTGCTTGAACTATTACAAAGCAAAGATGTGTTTTTTTAGCCTAAAGCCTACTAAGAAGTGCACTAGGGTTTTATGAGGAACTGACTGAAGAGAACTTGACTGTAGGAAGCTCAAAAGCTTCGAGCCTTGACCAAGCCTGGGGCTTTTTTCGGAAGCCTAGGCAAGCCATTGACAACTGTGGTTCAATTAGTGTCTTCAAATGCAAAAACAAAAATAATTACCCTCTTGAGAGCAGGATTTAGTGCTTAAGGCAAAGAGGCAAGCATGCATGTTCTTTAGACTGTAATCCAGCATATTTATACATACTAGTCCTTAAGGCATAGAGGCAAGCATGCATGTTCTTTAGACTGTAATCCAGCATATTTATACATACTAAACTATAAGTATTAAACCTATAAATATGCACATATATATTTAAAGTAAATTAATTATATTAGCATAAACCAGTTAGACATCCTTTAGAAAATCATCACTAACCAACAAAATAAGGTAACATTAACAACCAAGATTATAGGATATCAAAGCATGGAAAAATAGAAGTGGCACAAAGAAGGAGAAACAAGGTTAAGAATTACATATTAAAAGAGATATGGTTAAGGATTTTTTTTCTTTTAACATCGACTACAAGTAATTTTAAACAACAAAACAAGGTTAACCTTAACGAACAGGATTACATTTTAAGATAATTTTACTAAATGATATCAAAGCAAGGGCTAGCCAAGTGCACGATGCTCCCGCCATTGCAGGGTCTGGGCAGAGATGTACACAGTCTTACCTCGGCATACGGAAAGGCTTATCTAGCCCTTTTTATATCAAAGCAAGCAAAACATGTTTCTACAAAAAAAAATGCCAATTATATTCTTCTTTGCTCGGACGTATAGGAGGGGGAAAAAAATAATAAAAGTGGTCATGAGAGGTCTATGTATCATGCTGATTAAGAAGGCACATTAAAGCTTCAACTTTAAAGCCTAAGGGGATAATAAAACCACATCATCCTATGGAGAGCTTCAATGACATCTATAAAAACAAAACGATGTAACACTCCAAGAAGGTCATGTTTAATGACTCTCAATTGGGAACAAAAGTATCAGCTTCATATGCACAACACAAACATGAACTAAATACAGACTAGGTGTAACTTCACCAGTTCTCAATTATATCACTCTGCAGAAGTTATATTAAGAATTCAATTAGAAGCACCAGAAATATGAAGGAACATACACTTCTTTTAATTCTTCGAGTTTTGCCTGAGAATGAGCATCATTGGCAAGCAAAATGCATGGGTTCTCATCCTGTAATTTTCTCTTGGAGCCTGAGATATCAGCAGGACATTTAACACCACCATTCTGTAAATCATGGTAACTGGGACCCTTTTCTGTTGTCAAACTGTTTCTTGCATGATTACCGTTGCACAAATCTGCCCTCACAGAATTAAAACGGATACTCTGGATTTTACCATTCCCATTTGCCAGAGGAAATGCTTGGCTGCTCTCACCATCAACTGCATCAATTGTTTTATTTTTGCTCACACCATTACCATTTATTAATGATGGCATTTTCTTCTCCATCTTCTCCTCTGTACAAATTGAAGCTTTCTCCTTTGCCAGAGGAAATGCTTGGCTGCTCTCACCATCAACGGCATCAACTGTTTTATTTTTGCTCACACCATTACCGTTTATTAATGATGGCATTTTCTTCTCAATCTTCTCCTCTGTACAAATTGAAGCTTTAACATCCCCATTCTTCTCGTTGGGCTGAATTTTATTAACTTTTACATTTATAGTTGCAGGAAATTTTATGGTACCAGAGTTTCCCAAGCTACTTAACTTCTTCTGCTGATTAGAGGGCACTTTACCAACCTTAGATTTGATAAAACTATCATTTTCAGAAGAATTATCAGCAATTATCTTCAAATGCATTGCTTTACTCGGATTGGCAGCCTTCTGGATTTTAGCTGTATCAGAGCCATTGCGTTCTTGGTATTTCACTCCATTGGAAGCCAACACTGTGCTGGTTGCTGTTGGCCTCTGTTTAGTACGAGAGAAGAAAAGGATATAAACCTTCTCTGACAAAACATCCTGTATGGTTGAAAGTGAAACACAAGAATCATTGCAGCAATACCAACGGGACATCGCATCCTGTACAAATGTAGAAAACACAAATCAGAAAATAATGAATGAAGCTGCTGTCAAAAATTAAATCAACTTTACCAAGTAGTATATATAGAGAGACCTTTATGTATGCATAATAGTGTCCAGAATCCGGTGAGTAGCCTGAATGCACAATTGTCCCAAAAAGGTTATACTCTGGATGTGGATCCTGCAGTGTGACCAAAAAATCAATTGTATTCAACAACAGAACCAGAAGTACACAGTGACTCATTTATAAAGGAAAAAAGTAGCACAGCAACCATGAAGCATTTCCACAAGCAAACCATATAAATTAGACTTAGTTAAAAGTCATATGAGAGGTTTCACTCGGTCAAATACAGGACAGCTCCATACTAAATGAGAAAGCATAAAAGCTATGGATGCAGATACAGAAAAGTAATAAAAAGGAGGCTCCATCATGTTCATGATTATCATAACAGTTAGCTACCTGTGGAAGCTGGTTAAAACCATGACACATTGACATAAACAAAAAACACATGTTGACAAGGATTAATTATCAAAATTGCACGTGTAGCACCTCGACTTGTAGTGACAAAAAAAGATGTTACACAGAACCCCCCAACCCCCTTTTTTTCCTTCCTTCCTTGACGGGGCCTGCACTGAGGAAATAAGGACAGTGTGGCCTACGAGAGGTCGGTGATGAGTGAGACCAATGGAAATGAACTTAAATAATTAAGGGGCTTCTGGCAAAAAAATAAATAAATAAATTGCTATAAAACACAGACGCAAACGATACTGCCAAGGAACTGCTGAAGTAAAGCCTTAAGTCATCATAAGTGCCACGAGAAGATACAAAAGGTAAAAACGTAAAGCATGGTTCCGAGGGCTACTAAGAGAAGGAACACAAAAAATGAGGACATTCTTTGACCAGTGCAGAAATATATATATATATATATCACTAAAGATGAATTCATTTAAATGTGCATTCAGGAAAAATTTTTGGATTTGTGGATCTTGTACATGGCATCAACATCAATCCAATATAAAACCAAAGCTCTCACAGACATATAGCCACCCAAGTCACAGAAGCATTTGAAAAGTTTTATGGGAGAAAAGTTTTACTAATGAAGGTAAATTCCAGCCCTAATGGAGATAACCAGCCATTAGTACCGCTACTAAAGCACAAGGAACCCTTCGCCCGGGAGGAGAAGTAACTTAAGGCATTTTGTGAGGTCAACAATGTGTGCGACCTATTTACCATATCAATCGAGTAGTCTGGGGCACTGAAGTTATTCCACCCCCTTAAGAAGCATGGTCTTGCTTTGGAAATCATTGTCCAAAAGTTCCGCCATTATCTGCCATCACACTCCAGTAACTCCACCAAAGTAGTCACCAAATGCATTTTCATACATTATTTGGTCTCCAGGCCTACCAAAAAATGGCTTAATGGCTGCTATGAGCTATCTTAGAAGAATTTTAGATAACTCATATACTACCAAATGCCAGAATCAAGCTATAGCTGATCTTTTTGCATAGTTCTCAAACGGAGAATATGAGCAGGTTGACAAAGAATATCCAGGAGAAGAAGACGAGATGCACAAATAGATAAGCGTGGATAGTCAATACAAAGCTCCAAGGGGTACTCCATTGTAGAAGGATGAGTTGCAGGTATACCATTAATTTCTGTCGAGGCTGGTATTAAAAATAAACTGTCCTATAGGTTTGAATTGAAAATGGTTTAACAAAAAGGCAGAATATTAAGCCTTAATTTTTGGGTTGTTAGCCTGTCTTCCGAACAAGATCAGACTTCTACACATCAGGGTTGACTCTAATGTAGTGGTGAATGGGGTGAACCAAACAATTGGATAGTACAATGTGATAGAACCTAATATTGCCTGTTATCAGGCCATTGCAACAAAATTTTTGGGTGGAGTCAAGTAATTAAACACCGAGCATGCTCCAAGTCCAGCATAAGGCATCCAGATGCTCTCGGCGCTTTAGCCTCAAAATTCAATGTGACTAAATGGTTATGCAAGAACATACATCTTTAAGCAATTGAGATGCCATGCTCTATGCTTAAAATGTCTCCAAAGGCGAGCCAATAACTAGAGGACCCTACACTTGGACACTAGATAAGAGAGAGGGATTACTCCTGATCTTAGAATTTAAAAAATATATATCTAAGAGATTAGATATTGCACTACCACTACCATGAAGAACTGTTGGAACTATTTTTGAGTCTTGTGAGACTAAGAAAAAACTTGCAACCGTGCATCATTAAATGTCGACAGGCATGTGGCTAAGGATGTAAGCTCAGACAGGAAGATGCAGCAATAAGGTATTATATATCAGAATTGGGACAAGAAACAGGGAGATGCAATAAAAATGCCCGAGCTGCCAGCAATACCCATCATTGATGAATTTTTCTTATTCATTCTACACCTGACTGGCAAAGAAACGATCAAGATAATCATTTTAGGGGGCATTCCTACTAGAAGGCAAGAAGCGGCTATTGTAAAAGAAAAAGCCTCTCGGTTCTTTATACACCAAAGCTTGTTATGCTGACAAAATTGAAGACCATTATGGTGCTTAGCTGGAGCTGGAACACGAGAAGCCTGAAATTTTTTTGACGGAACATTATGGTGCTTAGCTGGAGCAGGAACACGAGAACCCTTCCAAAGCACCTTTTTTCCTTTTTAATAAGGTTATATCAGAAAGCTTTCAAACGGGTAACGCATCCTGCAAAAGCTACACAACTAAAAGGGGCCCCTAACCTCTGAATATGTCCAAAAAAATCTACTATCTCCCCCATGGATTTACAATTTCTCCCAAGAACCCAACCAAAAAAAAAAAACTAATAATAGAGAATCTCAGCACCGCAATAGGAATCTCCTCGCCATTGAAAGATCTCCTATTCCGTTTGCTCCACAAGCATCACCCTACATACAAGGGTGCCACCCACAAAAAGTCGACCAGCTTGGAGGCCCATTGTAAAACCTCTCCAAACCTCTATCATGCCTCTAGAGGACCGAGTCATAGCCCACTGGACCTAGAACAACCCCAAAAGCATGCTCCAACTGTCCCAGGCCACTGGGCAATGCAGCAAAAGGTGATCTATGGACTCTTCATCTCTCTTGCACATGCGGCACCAGTTAACAATAAAGACAACTACTATGTAAAAGACAATTGTAATTTATGAGATGTTGCCTTTAACCTCCTTTCCTATATTAAAGACAACTCTGAGAGATGAAGTTTTTATTCAGCTTTTAAATAGAAGTTATAGACCCCAAAGACTTAATGCTATATGCTGAATTTATTTGCTAGTTACACTGCATTTACACATACTCTACTTTGCATATATAAAATATGCTGTCATTTGGCATCATCTTTATGAAACTATAACTACATCTAGTCATACAACTTCAGTGTTCAATATAAAATAAACCATGCAAAGGAAAGGAGATCTAGACTGAAAAGTGAACCTACAAGGCTATACAGCTAAATTCCCATGCATGAACGGCTTTACGCACCTGGCTCGCTTTGCAAATGTAGCTTGAAAGCACCAAAACTTCCTCAAATGCAATGGCCTTATCAATCTTTCCACCATATATGCCATCAAACCTCTATGCAACCAAAACAATCAGAAGGCCATCAGCCAAAAGCAATAACAACAAAACAACAATGAAAAAATGATAGCAGTAAAATTAGAATAACAAAAACCAACCTTTAGCTGGATTACAAGGACATTAGGTGCTTGAAGTATAGACATTTGCTTCCTTGCTGTCACCAATTTCTTACAACTAAACAAGCATAAGTTTCCAACTCAAGGAATATTTCTGTGTTAAAAAAAAAAAAAAAAAAAAAGTTCAAAAATCAATTGTATAACTTACTTTTCACACTTGTATTTATTGTTGCCATCCAAAACCTCAGGTTGGAAAAACTTGTGCAAAGACTCTTTCAGAGAACTGCTATGCACAACATCAAGGCTTATATCCATGATCTCATCGACCTTATTCGACTCCGAACCACACGAAAGACACTTCACCTGGCTCTGCAGAGCACCACCGAAGATCTCCTTGACCACCGTACTGCCACTGAGACCCTCACCACCACCACCGCTGCCATTGGCGACCTTCCGGCGCTGCTGCTGCAACTTCTTGAGGCGAAGACAGGTGTTGTGGCAAGCATCAATAACATACCGAAGAAACTCGTGTGCGTCCTCTTGCCGGCCAAAGCGGAAGTGCTCGGCAAAAATTCTGAGACAACTATTGATCTTAGAAGGTGTGTCTAAGGATACATCAATGGTTAAAGAGCGTGCAATTCTCTTCTCTAATATACAAAAAGGACAATCTCGCTTTCGGTCTGATTCGGTTACCGAATCGCCTGCACAATACAACAATCAAATCAGTCTAATTATCAATAGAAATTGCAAAAATCATATATGTATGATTCTAGTAGAAAATTGAATATAGAGAGAGAAAGTGTTTACAGAAGGAGGAGTGTTGATTCTTGAGGCAGAAATTGGCGAGGGGAGGGGTGTAGGTTAAGCACTGAAGGACGCTGTTGAGATAGCAAGTGTTGCCGAGGTTCTTCAACCCTAAGGGAGGACCATTCTTGCGTTTGTGGAGGAGACTCGGCTGCCAAGTCATTTGCAAGGCCATTAACGACCTTTCTGGGCTGATTCCGCCGCATTGGATGACAACCCCCACCACCACGAGGATCGCATCCTCTTCCTCTTTCTCTCTCTACAGAAATTTTCTCTCTCTACAGATATATATATATATGTATGTATGTATAGTTTGTCTGAATGTTGCTGTGGGTGAAGGAAAATGAGGGTTTAGTTGTTTAAGTCGGCGGGTGGGGATGTTATCTAGCTGGGATTTGGGAATTGGATATGGCGTTGATGACACCGTGGATTTGGGATTTATGATTGTAGTATTATTACAATGGAAAAACAAGGGGCAGAGACAGACATCGTATCAGTCTCCTTCACCGACCCCTAAATCCCCCTTTTCATTTCCAAGGGTGCTCTCCCCCCACGGTCTCTCTTCCCTGCCGTAGGGCAATAGTGACCTTATTATTTAGGTCACCAAAATGGGCAGCCTTTTAAGACTTATTATAACGTTACTATTGGGCCTTGCCTTGGGTTATTACAAAGTGGGCTTTCAAATTGAAACCATTCGGAATCCCTTTTTTTTTTTTTTTTTTATAGTATAACCCTATTATTTATTACTATATACTATTCTGATCCAAATGGTACTGTTCAATTTTCGCCTACAAAGCCTCATAAGTCATATAACTCTCACTTTGAAAAAAATATATATATAGATATATATATATATACAGCTCTCACCACCTCACGTGATTAGTTTACATGGCACATGGCACTCTGTCCTTTGACAAATATTCAGTCATATTATTCAATGATTTACATAAAACTAATTATTTGGCGAAGTAGAACTATTGATTATTAGTCTGTCCAATATGTGTTCATGATTTTTCTTCAAACATTTCAGAATATACTGTGACACCTTTAGGATTATATGTGTTTCTCATTGCCCATGGAGAAAAACAATTTTTTTTTTTTTTTTTTTTTTTTGCGTTGGCCTTGATTCACTGCCTCCAATTGTCGAGTTTAGATTGCCTCGCACCTTTTAGTTGATAGTTTATCCCTCTTACATATTAAATTATTAACACAACCATTGAGTGGACCTTTTGTACTAAATATTCAAATAATTCCTACTACATTAAATGAGCTTCAACTTGACAACATCTAATCATCATCCATGGTCCTCGACCTTTATTCATCTTTGGTCAATGGTCAGTCAACCAATACACCAACCTTTGGATAGGTTATATATATGTAAATATATATTATATATATACACATACATAGGACTAGTGGATATGAACAGCCGTTTACTTCAAATACGATTCAAAAACTCAAAGAAAATCAACACAATACCTGCAAGATATTATCTCCAAGTCGATTCAACGGCATCGGTAATTTGCAAACAAGATTTAGTTAATTTGCGAATTGCGCGCAAGTACAGTGAACAAATGATCAGCAAGCTAGCACAAAATTAAAATGCTATGTATCATGTACAAAGCGCTCATTTTTCCTCTACATGCCTCTCTCACTAAAACTCGAGCATCTTCACGAACCCCATTAGTCCAAATCTTCCATGCCTCTCACTGAAAGATAACAGATCAGTTCCTATGATTATATGGGCTAGGAATCTAATCCAGTATGCAGGAACAGGTCATCTAATGTTTTGTAACAAAAACTTCATCAAGATCATCAAATGTATTTGGACTTCCAATGCCAAAAATTCCCAACTTGTATATAAAAGTGTATTGAACTGTAACTATGAGTTGATTCCAGTAATTGCTTTAACATACAAAAACACCCTCAATTTAGGGGTACCCCAAGTTCCCAACAACGAATGGATTTCAACAAATGTCCAACCTTGTCATGCTAAAACAAATGTATGAGATTCTAAAATCTACACATAACTTACAACCGCATATGTTGTTTTTGGCCCCTATCGCCACAAAATCCATCAATGTAGAGGCAGCTGCAAAAATAGATAGACTTAAACAGCAGATCATACAAATTGTCTAAATGAAAGTAACTGCATTTGTAATGGCTTCTTCTTTTTCAATGAATATGTAATGACTTCTTTAAAAACAAAAATAACAGTGCCACTAATTCGCATAATCCCTTCGTTTAGAGGGAATAATCAAACCTCACTATTGTTTTGAAAGTATATGGTATATTTACATACCTCAAGAGTAACTCCTGACATCGGTTTCCATTTTTCTACTTATTAGAAGCTGAGGATGAAGCTAAAGGTATAGATTCAGCTTGTTGAGACTCATCAGAGGTGCCTCGAGAAGCTTCCTTTTTCAACTTGTGATTATTATATGCAGCTACACCTGCAATGGCTGCATAAAAGATAAAATTAACTTAGGTTTCATTGCTTTTGTATAATCACATATCTTCTATCCAGCCAAAAGTAAACAAAAAAAAAGAGACAAATTATTATAGTAAATTGAATCTGAAATTAGGAGAGATCAACACACCAAATTAACTGCTCAAGTACCATTGGATTATTATCCAGATGATGAGTTTTATAAACATCCAAAATGAAAAAAGGAAGAAAGATTAGTTTACTGAGAAAGAAGCTGAAGAAAGAAATATATGCCACATATAATAAAGTCTGTCAACAGAAAAAATGGAAAACTGGTATATTTTCCATAGTCTGGCAGGCTGGCAGTCAGGGACAGATCCAGAAACATAAGTTAGGGGGGGCAATGTGAAATTTTTTACTAATTTCAGGAGGGGTATTAGTATAATTTTATAGATATAAATATCAAAATTCTAAAAATATTAGGGTATAATACTAAAAATAAAAAATAAAATAAAAATTCAGTGGGGGCAATTGCCCCCACCGGGCACACAATAGATCCGCGCCTGCTGGCAGTAGAGTAACCAGTTGTGTCCACAGCCCAGACCAAAAATATAAATGTGGAAACACCTAAGAATATAATGGTAATGCAAAGGAGAACCGCCTATATAGAGGCAGTTTTTGTAGTGTTGAAGTGCAGTTTCAATATGAAAGTAACGAGTTTGGCTCGTACAGGAACAAATTGAGAATAGTAAAGAGCACACACAATACAAGGAAATATGCCAGATTATTATTCAAATAATTGAAGTAATTAAACCATAACTTTCATTGATATATTACCAATGGCGTAACCAAACAGATTTATAACTGTCAGCTTTGTATCAGCAAACAGAAGGGCTGATAGCAAGACAACCACCCAATCCTTGACGACTCCAGCAACACGAATTGTTAGAGCACTTGTATGTCTGATCACAAGGAAAACTGATAGATTGAGTGCGAATGTACAGAGCGAGTTGAGTGTTAAAACAAGAGGTTGAAAGTTCCATTTCCCGCCAGCATCCATCTTTGGTTTCTCCAAAAAAATCCACGGAATGAACAGGCAAAGAGCACTGCAAAGTGAGCCAAAATTCTCCTCACATGGACAGAAATTTTGTATGCAAAGTAGAATGGTATAAAGAAATAATGATGGTTTTTAAGCTTTAGAGGCCAATTACAATACATGCCTGCATGGACTAACATAGTACATCATAGATATAGGGTTTAGCTTAAGACCCTTCCTTTTAAGCAGAATCTCCATAAATATAAGCCTCAAAGCTTCTCCAACAACACCTCCCATTTGATACACCACACCAATCCAGCTAATATTTATTTCCCCATACGAAGCCACTAGGACACCGATACTTATTACTGACATTATGAGAAGCATTCTGCAGCTCATCAATTCAAGTCCAGCTGCTACTCCAAGAATAAAAACAGCTACAGGCACTGCATATCTCAGTCAAAAACCAGAAGTTATATCACTAGCTGTTCTAAGGATAAGATATAATATTTAAATCAGAAGTTGTTAAACAACATGATCTCTTTACACCCAAAGAATAAGATAGTCCTCCGGAGTGGACACTGGACAACATATAAGCATTCTGAGATTAGTTCGAATGTGGATATGCTCAAGCTCCATTTGTTTCGAAATTTTGACGTAAAATATCTTCCTTAAAAAAACAAAAAATATATTTTTATTTTTCGGTGTTTGGCAAAGGTCAAGGCCGAGTCTATCAGGCTGGCCGTGTAAAATAACTTGCCGAAAGTTGATGTGTAAGTTATTTTTGTTAGGTTTTAATAAAATATTTTACTTAAATATTTGACAACCAAACACTAAAAAATAAAAAATTATTTTACATCAAAACAAACGGAGCCTCAAAAGGATATATTTTTGTAGATCTACTTCTCTTCATATGTAAAGGCCAGATCATTCCTATGAAGGGTGTGTTATGAAGCTAATAATAGGGATTAATGAGAAGAATAACAAATACTTACTTATCGCTTTCAACATTTGTGCAAACGCAACAGATATATAGAGGTAAGCAGTGTTTCCCAACCAAAGGGTCATTGCGAACGTTAAACCAATTGGAACAACTGATGAAGCATATCTGAAAGTTCAAAAATGGAGTTACATTTCTTTATGGATAGCAACTCAAAGCACATGGAAAAGAAAAGGTCAGAAATTTATGAATCCCCTACTCCGCTCCTCCCAAAAGAAAACCAAGAAGAAAATTGTGTTAATATTTGAAATAACAATACCTCTATCTATATGGGATTAAGACAGAAGGCACTTAATATAAAATTCATTTTTCTTACTGAGCTACTATTCAATCTTTCATGTTTCTAAGGCAACAAAGGAACCCATTGTATTAAGTTACCATGACAGAATTTAAAACATTGGCATGAAATAATCAGGCAAGTTGAAACACCAAATTGGAAGGCAACTAGTACATACATTTCTGCAGTCATCCCATCCTCAACTTTCATAATCTGTGAGGAAATAAAAACTAAGGTTACAAATTGCAGAAGTGAGCCACATATTTGGACAACAAAGCCCACCATAATTTAGTAAACTAATACCTTGAAAACTTTGGTGAGTATAAAACACAACACAGAAGAGAAGACCATGTGAAGTAAAGTCAATCCAAGAGGATATGGGAAGTTTATTTGCTTTGATGACAAAACCCACTGCATTTCACAATTTTAGAGGAGATGGGAAATAAATAAACTTTGGTTAGTCATGTGAAACAACCGTTACTGAAGCATCTTGTTTTAGATATATCAAACAACTGCATTGAGAACAAACAATAGTGATAAGATGATTAAACTTAAAGCCAATAATACTCTTAAGGCTGATGTAGAACAACATCCATCCCAAGTACAGATAAGATGGGGAATTCATACAACCTTGGATTACACAACTTCTGCTCCATATTTTTTAGGCAATAAAGCTATAGATGCTGTCAAGAGTGAGACCTCTGAAAGCACAAGGCACAAACCTAAGGAATAAAACTTCGCCTTCTACTTCCATGTTTAGAACTGTAAAACATAAGGAGAAACATTCACACCATTCACACAGAAACCCAAACACAAGGAACATTAAGGTACACAGACCAACTCAATATTAGAAATGATCATCTTATAAAATTTGATCATTTGAAACAAGCAATAAAGTGATGAAGTAAGAATATTTCTTCAAACAGCAAAACCACTGACATTTTTGAAAGAAGCAATAAAGTGCTGAAGTAAGAATATTCCTTCTAACAGTGAAACCATTGACAAACTTTATTTTGGATAAATTTTAATTTCACTCACCAAACAAATAATGGACAAGTATTCCACTGACATGGCTACCAAAAGGTTATGGGTGGGAAAAACAGAAAGGACAGAAAAGATTCCAAGTCAATGACTACTTCAACCATCCACTAAAGCTGATTTCTAATGTTTGATTATTTTCTTTTTAGAAATGGCCTGTTTATATTTACTAGATGGAGTGTTAGCTTGAACAATATAAATAAGAATAAATTTTGGAAAAAATAAAATAAAATTGATAACACAGCCACTCGATTTGGTGTTGAGAACCTTATTGTCATGGGGAACTCTTTAGGCATGAGGCATGTGTTTCATGAAATGTCATCTCACAAACTTTTTCTTCTTCTTTATGCTGGAAGACATCCCAAAAGTAACTTTTGACAGGCTAAGTTGAGATTCTCCACTAACCATCAGCATATTTTCAATTTGTTACTTTCTGATATTGGTCTCTTTGAACTACCATCTTCAAATCAGTAAAATTACCCTTAAAGAATATTTTTTGTGTGACCTTCAGCATAAGTGTAAGAAATATATATATATATATATGAACAACCCATCAATTTTTTCATAACAATTAAGGACCTACACAGTTTGAAGCAGTTGATCCATCTTTTCTTTTCTTTTTATCAGGAAATAAGGATCTATAATTTACGGGAGGGAAATTTATTATGAAAATGAAAACCAAGGCCACGTGACAAAGCATATGCAAAATTTATCTCAACAATCAATTATAACAGCTCAACCCTGTGAAGGTCCATTGCCTGAACTGTTGTAAAGGTCTACAATGTAATGGACATAAACTACTAAAGTCAATTCACAAAATCTACTGGCACAGTGGCACTTTTAGTCCGTCAAAAACACAATTCTGCATCATAATCATCATCATTATTGCCTTTACCTCATATCGATGGGGTGTCGGCCACATGATTTATCGTTTTACATTCTCTCCTATTATGCACCATAGCTCCTCTAATATTTAGGTTTTTTAAATTATTTTATATTATTTCATCCCATTTAAGTTTTGGTCGGCCTATTTTTCACTTACCTTCTAGGCAAGACGGCAAGCAACTCTTCCTCTTCTAAACAATACATCTTTGGATTACGGTGTAGATGACCATACCATTTAAGTCTACTTTCTCTAATTTTATAGTTAATAGGCACTTTTTCTCGATTTTTCCACACTCATTCATTATTAATCTTATATCTACTCTTCTAATCATTCCTATCATCCATCGTAGCATGCTCATTTCCACTTCATGAATGCATTGTTTTTGTTTCTTTTTCAACATTTAGCTCCATACAATATAGGTGACCTGATGACCGTCTTATAAATTCTTTCTTACAACTAGTTTGCCATCATTGTGTCCACCCTACTCCAATCTTACTTACTACAACACCATTTATCTCCCTGTATTTTTGTAATATTAATCATGAATAATGGAAGTAGTTATTTTGAGTAACTCTTCACTAAATTCACTAACCAGAGTCTAAAGATTACTTGTGTTCCAGTTTGAGCATTATGAATATACACAGCATGTTACACTCTCTTTGGCACCTTTAGACAAAAAGACCATTACTTATGTGAAAGAATGTATGCACACAAATTGTATGTATGGATTGCTTAATACTTATATTTGTTGCCAAGAACCATGTTTATCATGTTATATATATGAAAAAGATACACAGAGAGACACATCATCTCTACAAGAAACCAATGCTGCGGATCATAATCAGCTACACAAAATAAATGCTATGCATCATAACTAGTTTTTGATGGCTCAAGCATCAGAACTCTAAACCATGTATCTCCCCTTAATTTAAAATCAAAGGGCCTGTTTGGTTCAGTTTTTAGTATAGTTTTCAATTTTCATAGAATGGGGAAAAAAAAAAAAAACAACAACAACAACAACAAACAAACAAACAATTTGAAAATCTTTTTGAATGTCAGTTTTTTGAATTTGTTCTTTGAAAATTGAGTTAAGAAAATAAGACTAATTTCAGATCATACTATTTTTTAGTTCTTTAAAATTTGTTTTTTCTTTTTCTTTTTATAGTCCTCAAAAGTTGTTTTCAGATAACTAAAACAAAAAAGCCCAAAGTCACCACCATTAACCCAACTCAACTCAGCAAAACTGTGTCCCGACTATTTGGAAACAGAAATATAAATCCTATCCTGTCATTCTACTCTGTTAAACCACAGGCTTTGGTATTTACTCAAACATTTTCAGTATACAACATCAACAAGCTTTTTCCCCAACTACTTGGGGTCGACCACATGAACCCTATGTTTCTATTCCGCTCTGTCAAAGCACATGCTATCACTTCCTTCTTTACTAACTCTACCAATGTTAACTTTTGTCTATCTCTTTGCCTAGTATTACCCTCAATGTGGAAACTCAAATATTCTCAGTATCTATGCTCAAAAAGATTAGACACGCTTTTGTATTGTCTAGTACCTAAAACAACCTTCCTCCATTTTCTATCCATGGACCAGTTGTGTTAAACGTAAGACGGGTAAAATTAGTCACCATCATTAATCCAAGAATTCCAAAATTGCCTGATCAAGCCACATTGAGAATGAGGAGTCATGCAGTTCAGTAATAAAGAATGTCACTTTCCTCTTCACAAATCTAAAGTACTCTAATCAGCAGTAATAATTCGCTGCAATTAAGTGGCATCCATTATATGTGTATGCAGTTTCCAAAATACTGAACACAGGTGTAAAGACCATCCATTATTCCTCAATCCCATCTAGTCAAATGAAAAACTAACTTCAAGCTCTCAACTAAGCAAAATAGTTCAATTGCATTGTCAACTAAGCACGATTCAATCAGAGAATAAAGAATGTGATACGAATTTACCGATCAAAAACGAAAGTATTAGATGGAAATGTCAGGCATATATATAGAGCGAGGGGAAAGGAATTGGACCTTGTTGAAGAAGATCTGACCGCTGGAGAGGCCGATGTAGAGGAGAATGTAAGAGTAGGTTAAGACATCTTCTCTGACGAGTTTTCTGATCCGATCCGCCATTGCCGGAACACACTACAACTCAATCGCTGAATCGAGCCCTCGGGGGTTAAAAGGTGGGACCTTGGAGTGTGGAAGCGTTGAAAGAAAAGGCAAAAGATACTTACGTGAGCAGTGGGGCTCGTTGCTTTCAATTCGCACTACAATTGGCGCAATCCCGTAAACAAATCATCTGCTGTGCGATTTCCATGATGTCTCCTGCGGTGAGTGTGCGATTTCCATGATGTCTCCTGCGGTAAGTGTTAAGTGATTTTGATTTGGCCACATTTTATTCCACTTCATATATACTAGGGCTGTGTTCGACAATTACATCATTTTACCACCATATATCAGTATTTTTATTCTCAAAATAAGGTATTCACACAATACAGATTAAATAATGTTACATACAAACGTAATTCAATTCACCACCATTTATAAGTAACATTTCACCATTATTTATAAGTAACATTTCACTACCATTTATGAGTATCTTCACCCTCAAAATAAGGTATGCATATGATGCAGATTAAGTAATGTCACATACAAACGTAAGTCAATTCAACATATCATTTATGTTGTTTTTTGAAATTAAAGTATTTTTAAAACACTTTAACATGTTAATTTAAAGAATTTAAACCAAAATTAAAATCAATTTGATTAACTTTAGACAACAAACAAAATACTCGTTATTTCCAAAAATAACGAAAAGCCACACATCTTTTTTTTTTTTTTTTTCTTCAAAATATTAAAAAAAAAAACATGCACTTAGTTTTAAATTATTTAACATATCTTTGAAAATTATTTAGCAAAATTTAATATTAATTATCACACACACCACCTTCACCATCAAAAGAAAAATTTTGGTAAAATTTAATATTAATTGTCACACTCACCACTTTTACCATCAAAAAAAAGTATTCACATAGTGCTGAAAAACTAATAGTCACACATAAATCAAACTCAATTCTACATATTATTTATATATTTTTTAAGTTTAATTTTATCATAAAAATAGAACATCCAAAAAAATAGTCACATGTTAATTTAAAGATGAATTTGAAAGGGATTATGAGGTATATGACGGTCAACAACCCTTTACTTTTTAAGTAGTGATGTTACCCTCTTACAAATGGTGATGTTACTTTTTAGACTCATGTGATATTACTTTTAGATTTCTGTGATGTTACTTATAAATGGTAGTGAAATGTTACTTATAAATAATGGTGTAATTACAAATGGTGATGTTACTTTTTAGACTCATGTGATATTACTTTTAGACTTCTGTGATATTACTTATAAATAGTGGTGTAATTGTCAAACACAGTCTTAGTGTCTATTGAGTGGAATAAAACGTGGCCAAACCAAGACCACTCGATGCTCACTGCAGGAGACAGCATGAAAACTGCACAACAGGGGATTTGCGCCTATAAACGAGTCAATTCGTTTATTTGGTAGGTTGCTTATGTGAGCAGTGTCCTCCGAATCCGATTGTCAATCTCCTTCCCGGGTTGGACATGGATGGATACTGGGTAGGGGGCGGATCCAAACCTCGTACTGTTCAAACGTCCACCAGCAAATCGTTGACCTAATCCAATTGATTATTTTGATTTAGGTTAGCCTGAATCCAATGTTGTAACAACATGGTGCTATGTAGGACTGTACCGTCACAATCATTCACATTGTGATACGATCATGTAAATTGTGATAAGATCATGTGAACAATTATAAACATTATTGCAATACAATATGGGCGTCGCACTATAAATAAAATAATGTACACCCTTAATTTAAAATCTTCTTATATAGATTATTGAAGAGTAGGTAGGTTCAATTCTATTAAGAGTGTGTTCGGCTACATAGAATTGAAGTTTTTGAATTAAAATTTGTAAAATTTGAAAAAAATTTGGTGTATATTTCTTAGTTATTTTTTTCAAATTTTATCAATTTCAATTTTAAAACTTTAATTCTATGCAACCGAATGCACCCTAAAAGAAATTAGTTGTTACATCTCAACTCACTTGATCATGTGGTGTGGCTCAACTGATATGCACCAATGCAGCTAACCATTCACATTTTTATAATCCCACGCCACATTCTTGGTAAAACATAGAATGTTAGCTTACATGAGAGTCGTATCTTTTTGCCAGTGTAGCTAACCATTCTCATATCTGTAATCCTACCGGTAAAACACAGAATGACAGAGATATTCATAACTTCCACCTAAATCAACAGCTCAAAAAGCAATTAATACATTAAAAGAGTGCAATTTGGGCAGATCAACTTGAGACATGTCTAATTTTTCACGAGCTTGAACAATTATTTTTATAATAAAAATTGTGTTTGAGTTGAAAATTCTCAATCCAAACTTAATTAGAGTTGGATTGGATCAAAGTGTCACCCACCTAAGCACAACTCGAATCCAAATTCTAATATTATTTATATAAATATATATATTATTTTTAAAATATGATATGATATTAAATTATACTAATAAACTTTTTCTCTTCAACTTCATTTGTTAAGTCTTAATTTTTGTTAGCATTTAAATCTTAATTTATTGTATGTTAACACTTTGAATTAATAATTTTTTAAGAATTTGTGTATAATTTGTTTAGATATTTGCATTAAGTTTTTTAAAAAAATTGTGCAGATGAGTAATTTAATATGAAACTAACTAAAGATCACTTTAAACTTTCAAAAAATCTATTTTAAAAATTCAAAGATGAATTGAAATTGGGTTGAATAGTTAAGATTATTAGGGTTAAAATTTTATACGTTGAGTTTACCCGAATTGTAGCTCCAACTCGCTTGAACTACAGCTCCAAGTAAAATCTATACAAAAAAATAATATCCCCGTTGGTTAAAAAAAAAAAAATAGTAAATTACACTTACCTCTCTTGAGGTTTAGGCAAATCTCACATGGGTGGAGCATTTGAAGTTTATTACTTTGACCTCCCTTAAGATTATAAAAAATCAATTATACCCTTATATATAATATATTTTGTATTATAAAAATATATTATATTTTGTATTATAAAAATATATTATAAATTTAAAAAAAAAAAAAAACAATTATTCCATTTTATCTCTCTTGTTACTTCTCTCTCCTCTCCAATACCATTACCCTACTAAAAAAATATTGTAAATAAATTTAAAAAATGAGTGTAAGTGTAACTTTGTTATTTTATGAATTTTTTTACAAGTTTTGATAGAGAAGGGATTGTTGAACATACACTCAAACTTCAAGGGAGGTCAAAACAATTAATTTTAGGGTTAATTTCACTGACACTCTCTCAGGTTTAGCCAAATATCACACTCAAACATCCTTCGAAAATTACTATCACTTAAGTCCATTTTTACTTTTCCGTCACAGAATCCGTTAAAAAGAAACAAAAAGACAATTTTACCCCTAATTTTTTAATCATATTTATTCTAAAATATCAGATTACTTAAATTTGTCGTTCTACCCCTAATTAATACACCACTCCTAATATTGTATAACATTTGAGATCTTTCACTACATATTGTAGATAAAAGAAGATAATTAAAAAGGTTATCTAATCTAGGGAACAAGCTTTCTTTGCCATAATTTTATTTACTTATTTATTGTTTATTCATGAAACAATCTGAGAACAAATAAAACTACTGGAAGGTAGAATGAAATTAATGTTACTTACCAAAACAGCGAGGATTAATCTCCTGGAAAATAAGGAGTCAAAGGTCAAATTCCCTCCAAACCTTCCTATAATTTACGATTTTGATGTGTTGATGATGAATGGGTTAGGTTATATTTTTTCATCATCCTTTTAATCATCGTTATTGGAATCTAATTTGTTAAAATTGAGTTAATAATATATCCATTAATTGGGGTATATATATATATATATATATATATATATATATATATATATATATATATATCTCGTTCTATTTAAATTGGGTTATTCCTCGATTCTTCCTCTTTCTTTAGTCTCGCATCGCTACATACCTCAATGAATGGGTAGAAGAAGAACTTGTTTCAGTATGTTTCTCCATTTGAATAGATATAGGTGATATGTTCAAGCTACTTAGTAGACGTAGATATAGGAAACTTCATATCTATGTTTCTAACCGTATTCTTATGATTCGATTTCCTCGGGAACCAGACCCCTTGGCAGATTTTGTGATACCCCTCGGATCCGAGACACGGGTTGATCAGGCCCAGGCCCAAATCCGAGGGAATATCAAACAATTAATATGTTAAAACGAATACGGAATACAAAATAATGTAATAAGAAATAAAAATAATAAGCTGAAAGAAACTAGAATAAAAATCCTCAAAACATAATTATTTAAATCCGTTAATCCAAAACTCCATAAGTTTACAACTCGAGAATCCATCCAGTGGACCCCTTATTAAAACCCAATAGAAACTACAATATTTGAAATAGAATCTAAAGCTAAACATAGAAAAGTTTCCTACGTAGTCGGAGGAATGAATATCTGTATCTGCTCTGCACGTCCAAGCTCTAACCCTGGAACTGACAGACACCTGAAAAATAAAGAGTGGGTCAAGCCCACATGCAAGTTCTATCCTACTACGATCCAAACAGTAATCCGATACGCAGATACATCCTAGATAGCTCAACAATATCTATCTAGTCCATACATATATATATATCCACACTAAGGGACATTCACTAGATTACAGTAGGGGTCTCAACCTGAATAAAAGGCAATATGCGAAAACGCACCCAAAGGTGGGCATGAGTACCTAGACCTAACAGGGTACACCTCAACCTACTTTAACCAGTTACGCATCCACTGCATATACGCACCTTAACCAACGAGTCTGAGACTTAAGCTCATTTCGTGGTACCATAAACATATATATAAAGTCCGTCCAAAACCAGGGTATGTCATTCAAATACTTATTAAGATGACATACAATATACAAACTAGTTAGTCACTCAACTTATTCAGTTGATATGACCTAACTATCATCCATTACTTCAGAAAGCCATTCAACTTAGTCGCAGTTAATCTAACTCAATCACAATTTGGATTCAATATTTTTCAATCC